ATCTTTACGTTGTTCCAAAGTCTCTTCCTGTATTTGAGCAGCCTGTCTTACTGCTTGTGCTTGAAGTCTTTGATTGCATTCTTCTTCTGTTTCTGCTGCTCTTTGTGCTTGCATTCTTTTAGCGGCAGAAGACTTTTCATAGAAAGGGCGTTTCTTGGGTGGCATAATTACCTGTATCACTAAACATTAATTTGCAATTCACAACGTTACTAAATCACTTATGAAACCACCTAGTACTATTTAAAGAAAACTGTTTTTGGAAATACTGAATTGACAGCAAAGTGATCTGAGTGTCTCCCACCATAACGCTTTCTATGTGCAAAACGTGCTTGTTTGTATGTTTATTACAAAAAATGGCCCGATAATAATTAATTGTCAATTTTGTCATTAAATACTACACCAAATACAAAAAAAATATCACCATTAAATTTCTTGTAAAAAAACTGGTTATTATGAAGTTATTTTAAAATTAGTAAGTTCAACCATTTGGTTTTCTATAGTGAATAAAATAAACAAATAATCAAATTTCCTCTTTTATATATATGTAGATAATTACAATTTATATTATAAAGATTATATTGCATTGTTATCTTAATGTATATCTCTAAGAGTACGCTAAATCACCTAAGCTGGTCAAAACTCATGAGATACTATTGTAATTACAGCCAAAATTATCTTTAACAGTGTTGTTGTTGTTTGTTATTAAGCACAAAGCTACAAGTCCACAGACATACCACTGAGGGGAGGGGGCTTTACACAGTGTTAACAGTGAGGTTACACAAGTGATGAAACAATTCATTCTAATCTTCATGAGTAGAAATGTATGAAACAGGTTGATTCTTAGTTTTGCTATAACTACATAGCCTACTCTAACCTGAAGTTAATATTAATTGCCCAGTAAATGGGTAATTGAACTATGTTCTGACATGCACACAAAAACGTAAAAAAAGAATATTCCTAATTTCAAAGAAGTGTGAACCACCATTAATATATCTTTTCTTTTTTTATGCACATTGCTTTCTCAATGGTACAACAGATATACCTCCTCTCACACAAAGTAATCTCGATCATGTCTGCCCTCTAAGCATTGCTAAAAACAATTTCACTGCAGTGCACCAGTCTTTATACTCCATCAATTTTGCACCATTTCAGAACATGTGCTGATCATGTAACTACTCTCCACCAATCATACTGCACCATCTATACTAGTGCAGCTAGCTACCTCAACTATTCTAGAACAATCAACACTTTCTCATTTGGCATTCTAGTGTGTAGACATGTATTTTAACTCACTCTCTATGTGACTACAAAATTATAATTATGCTTGATTCCAAATTTATATCAGTTTCAACTTCAAGTTTTGACTTCTTGTGTTTGATTTCCATTGTTTCTACTTGTTTGTTTTAAAAATATTTCTGTTTTCTGAATTATAATTTGTTCATATGAATTTGAGATTAATTATGGCAGATGATGAAGTTTCCATGACAGTCAACAATGGTCCTGACACAAATCTCCAGGTCTCAGGGGCAATGATGTTTGTTGTGGAAGTACAGGCTTTAGTTTGCGGGGAGTTCGGTCTTCCATTTGGACAACAGTTTCTTCCTTTCACGGTGTCTCGGCATGGCCGGGTGGTTAGCGCTTGACTCGCAATCTGTGGGTCACGGGTTCTAATCCCCATTACACCAAACATGCTTGCCCTTTCGGCTGTGGGGGCGTTATAATGTGACGGTTAATCCCACTATTCGTTGGTAAACGAGTAGT